CGGATCCATGGCTTATATATGTATACTATGCTATATTATATCTCTATAGCAACCTACGTGGTCGTCGAGTGAAAATTCCGATCCATGGTTTATATAAAATACTATTATAAATATGTGTGTGTGCAGCTATATGTGTATGTGTGTGGATGAATAATCTTTACGTGATTTGTGTTTATTGTGCCACGCTTGATTGGATAATTGTGATGTCTAAATTGGTAATTGAATTATGGTCTAAATGTTCATGTGCATGCATAACACGCATTTTTTTAAAGTTTGAAAGTTTAAAGGAATACTCGGGTAATGAACAACTCGGATACGATGGGCTGGTATCCAATTTTATGAAATGTGTGGGTAGCTACCACTAGTGAAAACAGGCTCGTAACAGGTTTATTATCTGAGTACATAAATTAATCTTTTCCTGGTCCGATAAAATGAACAAATAATTTTTAACACGCATTGCATTCAAGGGCATTTTAGTCATTTTTGCATATTAAAGTGATTTATGTGGAAATAATATGCTTTTGTGACTTATGTGTTGTGTATATTAACTATGTTTAGATGGTCACGGTGGGGTTCTGATAAGGATTATGTTGAACTACATTTATATGCGTAAAGTGTTAAATTGATACTACAGGGACTTTATGTCTACGAGCAATATAAGGCGTTTATATCCGTATAATACGAAAGAGGACTGTGTGTCCAATATACCAAGATTGAGGTAAACAATATTATATGTTTATATGTAGAGCTATATGTTACGGCTATGTGTTAAGATAATATTCATGCTTCGTGGTTCTTAGCTTTGTAGATAAAAAATAATGCATTCGTATGTGATGTTATGTGCTTTCACATATATGATCGAACTCCATTTGACTTTTGTAGTATAAAAATAAAAGTCAAACTCCATTAAAAGTCAAACTCCATTTGACCTTTGTAGTATAAAAATAACGGGTTTACTATTCATAGTGCAATTTTTTTTAACTATAGTGCGAAATAATTTATTTATTGAAAAATACTTTAACCTTTTCCAAATCATCGCAACCTTCGATTTTTAAACTTTCCAAATCATTTTTTTTCGATAGTATCAGTTAGAACACAATAATTATCAACACGAATGAAACCGACTTTGATTTTAAGGTAAAAAAAGTGTTTTTTTAATCAAATTTTGCCCTTTTTACGGATTCTGTATTGATTGCACGAAATAAAACGCTCCATTTCGTGCAATACAACACGAAATGTCTTTTTTTAGAATGTTGTTTTATTTTGTGTAAATTTACACGA